ACGTAGACTAGTCATTAAGTTATTTATTCATGACAGAAAAGGAATTAATTGTATATGAAATATGTATGCAAAACATATTCGAGAATTTATTCATTCCGATTAACTGATTCAGCTTAGTTACAGCACAAGAGTTTTGGAATCAATATGCTTAGCCACATAATTCAGTGTAGATTAAATAAGTGAAGTTATCTTCAGAGTTTTCAGTGGTAAATAAGAGCGTTGTACCCAGGACTTCCGGTCGCTTTTCCGTTTGTTTAGTATATAACTATCACGTATTGGGATGCATGTCCATGAGAAATTCATTTCAAGCCCCAACATTTAGTATATTTATAAAAATATTCGTCAATATCAGAACTATGAGCGCCGAGTATAGAGAAGACATTATATGTGAAAATTATATTTAAAATAATCTCAGCGATTGAAATCTAAACAATTCCAGCGTTTCATCCAGCAAAGTCGTCTGAACCTTTTAAGGATTGTAATCGAAACCAGAATTATAATCTATTTATTTAATTTTCAATCGCTCAGGTTATTTCAAATATATTTTTCATATATGATGTTTTATTACATTTGTTTTATATCCGGCATGTTGGGCTTCACTACACTAGGTATGTGCATAGCAGACAGTTGAGAATAGCTCCAGACGCTTGAAATGAAATCTTTAGTGAAAATAATATACCGATATGCAGCACTCATTCAATAAATGAAGGGAAAAATAACTGAAACTGGTGCATACGAAATGCCTACTGAGTATTGAAAACCTTGAGGATAACCTCAGAAACTGCTTTTAGTGGTATTAACCCAAAAACTAGGAGTATGGAAGTTCTCCCGATACTGAACCAAGAGTATTTGGATATAAATTTATTGATCACCTAATATAATAATACTAATGTTAATACTATTACCCATAATCATAATATTAATAATAATCCCTATGTTCCATTGGGAGTAACAGGAGTAAGTAAGTAATAACACAGTACCATTTATTGAAATGAATTCATCAGTCATCAGTTTATAGGTCTAACTTAGTATTCGTTACTCTGTTTCACAAACTCAATCTAATTATCATTACGTACATCGTGTGTTTTTTGTGCATATTTCAGCAAAAGTCATTTTATGATTGTGCAAACGTTCAATGTCCATTGTTACAAGATGCAGATTTCCCACCGCATTTCGATGAGGACTGTGTATTACTTTCATCTTTAAGCATGAAACTGAAAGAATCCCTAATACACTAAACGAAATTTGATGGAATTATTGCAAACAAAAAGTATAGAAAATTTATTTCTCAACCGTAAATATTGTATCAAATGCTTGCCAATAATATTTAATAAATCTATGATTTTATTAGAGATGATTCTGTCTATATTATTTAAGTAGAATAATAGTGGGTAAAGAGAGTATGAATTTTCGATTGCTGTGCATTATAACAGGTTACAGAATGATGTATTCTATTCATCCACTCGATTAATTTTCATTCGGTTCAATTTATGAGTATCAAGAAGCAAGGTGAATTTCATGTTTATTTGTCTCGAAAATTATGATTTATAAACCTTTAATTTATCATAATACAACAACATTTACTAGTTACTTTCTGATAATGATTCCAAATACTAGACGAAAACCGAAATTAGTTATGGAAATAAATATTAGTCATATTCAGGTTAAACAACCGCTACATACTAACGCAATACATAACTAGGAAAAAATCCCTTCTACAAAGCTTTTGCTTGAAAATATAAGATAAAATGTTTAATGATTAAATATAGGGTCACTGAACTTGGATATCAACTCAAAAAATAGTATGATAAAAGTAACAACTAGTGAAAACAGTTGATTAGGTAAAATGAAATGAAAAGTGACAACTAGGAATTTAGAGCGGGACCAAAAACAATAAATCTGATTATGGAAAGCTCTACTATTATTATAAGCTGAGTCTCGAGTTCTCTACAGCAATGCTAATTCATTCACCATCTGTCGATTCCAACAGTACACTTTATGAGCGTCTATACATGCACTCAATAGCATTATACACCGGTTTCGTTGACGCTGATGTTGCTATACAATGATATCATCAATAGAAGTATGAGCAAATTCTGTCTCCAGTCTTATTATGAAAATACCTGTACGAATATCAGAACCAAACTTCAACGAACTTGGTTACTGCATAAAATGGAACCAACTTTCGTTTGTTAACATTATTCTTATGTGTGTATCCATCTACCTAGGCTATAAATGTAGTTTGTAATTAGCAGATATCTATCTTCCTAACAGGAGTGAACCACCAATTCAACCACGTAATTCTGTCGTAACTGTTTCCACCTCTCATGAAAATCTTAATGGCTAGTAGTGAGACATCCATAATTTCAAAATGTTTTGGATTTTTTTCAAATTTAATAAAAAAAAAGTAGGAAGTAGCAGTTATACGGGCTTTGTTTAATGGAACTAATTGGGTATTTTCACGTGAATTAAAAAAGCGTGATTCCCAACGTATGCTGTACAATAATCTTCAATTCATGACTAAAGACGCTCTAAAAATAAACATGACTTTCCTACACAGCTGGCTGTAGATGTTACTCGATCATCAAAGGAGATTCCGCACTAGATCCGATAGTTACTTTATTCATTTTAATGTTAAAATGTACTAGCATCACAAACTGATAGTTTTTGGTATTTAAAGTGCTCTAATATAACTAACACGATCCCTGGTTTCTTTGAGAATAGTGTACCAATATATGGTTTGCAGGACCCATGACAAAATAAATCTGCTATACACTACCTCGAAATCGAGTCACCCAGTGTATGCTTACCTTTGCGTCTATAGTGGAGATCACAGAATGTACACAACCTGTACCCCACACTATGAGATAGAACTTCCGTATAGAATTATCTAAATCATTCTATGTTGATTTTAGGGCCTTTTCGAAACATTCACAAACTTCAGCTTAGGTTTTTTATAAAGGGTTTTGGGAGTGGTTTGATTTTTTAATAAATGACGGCTTAAACTTTCCTATCTCACTGAGGAAAGTCAATTAAGTAGTTGGAATTTCCAGATATCCTACTTGATTATCTTAAAGTTTAGAACAATATGGGAATATTTCAAATATCTTAAAGTTGTATTGACGTTAGTCTACCGCATCTACTTTAGAAAAAAAAGTAATCCATTGTTTTCAATAATAAAACAGACATTATATTTAACCTTTATGTTAAAGTGCTGAGTCGAAACTCACTATGGTGAGTCAAAGCTATACAATCATGTAGTTCTGATCTGTCTTATCGTGATGTAGAATCGATATTTATTCCTTTGACCAGAAAACATCACATGATAAAAATCCAAAATATTTGATGATTTTGATTACTACCCTGAAGAAGTCCAGACAAGTTAGCTGGACGAAACGTTGGAATTTCAATCTCTGAGATTATTTCAAATATAATTTCCACATATAATGACTTCTCTTTACTCGGCGCCCAATTTCTGTCAAACTATTCGTTCTAATCTTGTCGAATATTCGTAGAAATCCAAAATATAGTTTAACTAAACCATAGTACTATAAGAAGGTACACAAAATATTGGATTTTCTGTCCACAACGGTATAATAGTCATATTAAAATTGACTCCTCCTGATATCCTTGGTTCTTTAATAAGTATCCTTACTCCAAGTCGAGACAATGCATCTATTTGCATTAACGATTAGAAGCTAAGCATCAGGATACGTTTTAAGGTTATTTCCAGTGAAGGGCTGGTTATCGTAATTTAAATAGTTGCCATCTAAATATAAGTTAAAACTTGTAGATTTCTCCATGGTGCGTCTTCACATTTAAAAGATAAATGTAATATGAATTGGAAACACTGAAAACAATGTTGAGATTAGATGGTGGTTGGAGGTAGTCAACAGGAAACCCGGATTTCGTGCTACTTGGCACTCGTCAGCAAAGTGTACCTGTAATCTTCAGGGAACTGATTCTCCCTGGCGGATTCGATCCCGTGTCACTCAGCTTCACAGTCAGATACGTTACCACTAGGCTGTCCGGGCCATGACCGACCTCCTGTAGGACTGAGACGTAATCACAATTGGTTGATCACTGGGTGTGTCAAGTCCTTCTTAGTGCAGATCGAATGCTATCGACCAAGTGAACACAATGTCGAGTCACCTAGACTAGCGGCCACATTGCAACATGATCGATAGCATTCGATCTGCACTAAGAAGGACTTGACACACATGACACTGATTACCACCCAGTGATCAATCAATTGTGACACTGAAAACAAACCAACAGTATTTATTTTGTTGTTGCAGGAAGATTTGCTGAAGAGTAAGTACATACCAGTCCTAGTATGAATTATGAGATTACTTTAGTAGCCGAAAACTAGGATGCACTTGATGCCAAAATCTGAAATAGTTGCGGTAAGGCAGTCAGAGACTAAAAACTCTAAACAGTGCCGCAATACCTCCTTCTTATCCCTTTTCTCACATCCAGCGTTTCTATATTTCTAAGCCATTTCAGCATATGGATCTACACTTTTACTATTTCATTATGTTACGGATCATTATTATGCAAGCTGCGTTTCTAAAAATAAATCTACAAATTATTCTTCAGCAAACTGTTAATCGATATCCTGCATCACTCATACATATCATTTTAAGACCAAACAATGAGTAAGAGATGGTGACGGGTATAGACTAATAGTTAGGATATGGTATGATTATCCGACGGGAACAAAAATACACTATTGGTTGGAAATCTGGATCAATATTTTGAGGGGCACATATCTATATTAATGAATGAGTTTGTGAATATATCTGATTTGGTTTACTAATACTGTTTTCTGATAACTTATAGTCTTCTTACGAAGGTTAACATGTCCGACTTGTGTATAGGAAGTGTGCACAACGGTTTTAGAAATCAGACGACCCCCCAACAATAATAACGAACTACCAACTCCTGTTAGTAGATAATTATGTGTACATATTATTATCGCAAAGTTTTAATAGACGATATTATCCATAGAATTTTTTGCAATTTATTTATATACAAAAGAATACCATCTGCTCAGTTATTTTATCATTTTGATTGAATGTCAAGTAAATACTATGATTTTAAAATAGGATAATAGGAAATTAGAAATTACCAAATGTATACACTTAAAACAACCATATCAAATTTTATAATCATGGAAAATAGTGTTCAATAACGACTGAGCACTGTTTGTAGACAACTATCAATTAGCATTGCATCTTGTTCCATTTTCATGGACCAACATTCAACATCACCGAGTTCTTTAAGTACATTACGAATATCGGAAACAAGCTTTAGCCATATATTGACATGGTTCTGATAAATATGTAATTGAGTTATTAACTCTTTGAATTCACTATTTAGTCGATGCTGATTTATATATGCCTAAAAAAGACAGAAATCAAGTTAATGTATGTTGTATTAAATGAATGCTAAATATTGAATATAATATAAGCTTATGCTTAATGTTACTGAGTTGTTCGAGTTTTATAACCAAAAACTAATTGTTGAAAAATGTTCTAGTATAATAAGTGGCATAGATGACCTGATTTGTAATAAGTAGTGTGACTCATATATATTTGGTGCCCTCTTGTACCAATATTTATGTGTTCAACTAAATAAATAATTTGTAATAAGTATCACTATTAGTATCATGAGTCAAACTTTCCATAATAAATCTAAATGAAAAATAGCAGTCAATGGAGTCGATGTAATGCCTCAACTGTAACAAAATCACAAGATCCCAAACTCAACCAAAATGAATTTATTATTGTATATAAAATAAGAATAAAACAATTTTCAAACTCCTTTTATATCTGAAAAATTCTCCGGTTTATTTCAATTTAACAAAATCCTATAAAACAAAGTAACCGACACGAAAAATGACTGGGCTTAACTCTCGTCAATTCACTTTTAAGATGTACTCTAAAGTTGTCAATAGTTTAAATATTTTTATTACACGTCACTTGTGTATTTTTGAAGTTTCATTCCTAGTAATACAATACAGAACGAGGCAATTTTTAATTAGATTATTTAGGCGGAATTTCTTCCCTTTTTCAGGTTTAGAAACAAGTATACTTAATAGTTCCTGCTTGATCTAAAGATCTTATTTGACTTTGTCAGCAAAAGTCCTGTGTAGGTGTTTGGCTGTGACAGGAGGGCAGGATAATAGTACTTTGTTTCTAGAAGCTCGTTAGACAATATTATTGAACGTGTAGTTATCTTTTAAAGTAATAGTAACAAGGTATTCGCCAACAATATCTACAATAACTCAGTTCAATACTACTACAAACAGATAGAAACAATTAGACTTACAGATAACATTTCATGGAAATCTATTTCCTATTTGAATATTCACAAATTCTCCTGGAGTTCTTTATGTACTCTGACAAAATTCAGGGTTGTAGTATCTTGAAAGAATATTAGTTTTATATCGCACTCGTCAAAATAAGAACAACACTTTAGTAATAACTACTAGCAGCATCTAACTTATGAACATTGTGATACAATTAAATGAATTAATCAGTTACACTTAAACTTATGGTTGATTGTATTTAAACACTTGCATAGACATTTCTTTCGATGTTTTCTAAATTACCCAACGTATGTTGTAAAGCCATTTGACGAGTATACTGTGTATCAGTCCGTTCTCTATTACTTAATGACCATTATCCATAGCCCCAGGAGATATGGGTAGGTTACGAGTATTCTAAATAAATCAACACAATTTGGGAATTTCAGCTTTAACTGGTATAGTTTCTTTAAGATTTTGTCGCTTGAGCAAACAAAAATTTACTTTACAATTAGGCAATTAATACTAGTTTACGCACTCGACTTTACTAATAAGCTAGAATGTCATATGCTACTCGAATGAAATTGGGGCCCACGGTACTAACCAGTAAACTTCTATCCTGAGGTTGGAACTTTGTATTCATCGAGCAAAACTCAGTCAGTGACAACGTAGAACTTCGTACGTACGTACATCAGTTCGAGTTGCCATACCACATTAGGACAGAGATGCAGTTGTCGATTCAAATTCCGTAGTGGTAGAGGTGGTAAGAGTATAAGCAGTAATCGGAAAGACTAGGGTCTGAAGATGTTATTCAAGGAGTATAATCCAGTGAAATAAATTTGGAAAGAGGAAAAAAAGGGACATTAAGAATTCAGAAGACTAGGATTTGGGAGAACACGAAGAGTGTATGCACCTGCGCCATTGCAAACGATTTTGAGCCATGTCATTCAGGGTCTCTAACCATCGGCTGCTATCATCTCGCGGTCCCCAACCAGGTAGTCTACACCTACCAACATTGCTCAATCTACTTGTCAGTGACTTCATAGACTTGTGCCATGTTTTGGTCTGACCGCCCCTAGCTTTCTTCCAACCTACTCCTATACCACTGAACATCGCACGTCGAGGCAGTCGGTCGTTGGGCATACGTAACACGTGTCCCAGCCATCTCAACTGATGAAGTTTCACTACGTCATCAATTGATTTGCCATCCTTACCTAGTACGCGTTTCCTAACAACTGCACTACTTACTCGATGGTCCCAGGATACACGAGCAATGTTTCGAAGACATCTATGATCAAATACTAGTAACCTACGAATATCCTCTACTCTTACCAGCCATGTTTCACTGCCATAAAGTAGGACGGAACGAACTGCTGCGCAGTAAACACGTCCTTTGGTTGATAGACGGATATCTCACCTACACCATAAATGACGCAAGTTGGTAAAAGCTAGTCGAGCCTTCTGTATCCGTGCTGAGATTTCGTCACACACCAGACCACAAGGGCTGATGAGACTTCCCAGATAAGTGAAGTGGTCGACACGCTCAACTACTTCACTCCCTATCATTAGTTCGGGTGTCGATGCAACCCAATCCTGAAGCAACATTTTGCATTTCGAGGGAGAGAATCGCATCCCGAACATGCTTGCGTCGTTGCTTAGAGTGGTCAGAAGACTCTGCATTTTGTCACCGTCTTCACCAAGTAGAACTATGTCATCGGCATATTCTAGGTCAAAAAATTAATCTCCCGGTAGAGGTTCAACCCCTGGAAATTTAGATGAGGAAAGTGTAATCTCTAAAAGCACGTCAACGACAAAGTTAAAAAATAATGGAGAGAGTGAACAGCTCTGACGAACACCACTTGAGGTCATCAATTCTGATGACAGTTCGCCATAAGCTCTCACTCTACCAGTTGTGTTCGAGTAGAGAGCCTTTACAAGGTTAATGTACTTCTTCGGTACTCCTTTCACTGACAAGCACTGCCATAGAACCTCACGACCAAAAGAGTCAAATGCTGCCTTAAAGTCGAGAAATACTACCATTGTGGGGTGTCTGAATGTGTGTCTATGTTATAGAACCCGACGGAGTGTGAATATGTGGTCTATACAACAACGTCCAGGTCGAAAACCAATCTGGTTTTCTCTAGTCTGCTCTTCGCGAGCTTTAGTTAGGCGTCGAAGTATTATTGAAGCTAATATTCTAGACACTATATTAGTCAAACTGATTCCTCTGTGATTGTCACAAGAGGACTTTTGTCCTTTCTTATAGACTGGCACAATCAGTGGTTGAGACCAGTCAGATGGGATTACGTCCAGTTCCCAAATTCTGTCTAAGACCTCAGTTAATCTCACTGCTAATACTGGACCACCATCCTTAAAAATCTCAAGAGTAAACCTGCCACGGACTGTTGCTCTCCCTCGCTCCAGGTTTCCTATAGCTTTTTCAACTTCGTAAAGATTCGGAGGACCTACATTAACTTGCCATTCAGGTTGACTAGAGATCGTGGAAAACCGAAGTGTGGCTGAAGGTCAGTTGAACTGATCCCTAGAGTGTTCTGCCTATAGATCCAATCTCCTGTATTGAGAATGTATAATATGTCCATCTTTCTCTGAGTGTTTCGCCAACAGTCGGTTTCCTCAACAAATCTGAACAATTGTCTGCTATTACCTATTGCAGCTGCCTTTTCCATCTCTCTTGCTTTCGCTACCCACCACTGTTCGTGATCATTGCGTAGGCTTCTTGTCAGCTTGCGCTTAAGCTGACTCCGCTCTTCGTTATGTTCAGAGCCGGATGGAATGAGTCTTCGAGCATCCATTAGTGCGGTAGATGCTGCTGAGATCCAGGAAGACGGAGGTTGACTATGAATACAGTGATCTTGAGTGCTGTTAGAGGTATGAGGGCGGTTATCACTTCCCGGTTGCCCACACCGTGGAAGGGTTGTTCTGGAGGTACCTGAAAAGGAAATTGGATTAGAGGTGGTCTTAGTGACCTGGGAGCGTGACCGCAGTGCCCAAAGGACAACTGCTTGAGGTCAGTCACACACGACCTTTTTATGGGTGATTTTTGTGTTAGCTCCGTACTTGTTGAGACCTTACCGCCGGAGACGGATATCCGTGGGATAAGGTGAGGTGTGACATTTTTAGGGTCAACCTTTTCTAACCCCACCCCTCCTTGTGGGAAGGCAGCATCGCTGTCATGCTGGTTGTCTGAAGGAAACACCTTACTGCTGTCACACCTCTGTACAGTCAGCAGTACGACTTCGCCTTCGGACCTTGGGTTTGTTGCTTTTAGTCTAACCGCTCTTCAATCGACCTGTCTGACATGGTAGGACCTTGAGGAACGGTTGTTCCAGCCAGTATAGCTCGGTTGCTTCATCACGATAGGCAAGCCCGACTACCACGTCAAGGTAGCAACAACAGTCGGGGCTGAGATCCAGTGTTGCTCCCTAACCTTACGGGTTACCGTACTAGCAGATATCACTGCTGTTTCCACAGCTTTTCGGATATCATTCCATGCTCCTTCGGGGTGGGCATTACATACATGGCTGCCTAACTGTTTTTCTAGTTGTTCCTGAAATATACTCTTAGCTTGACTATCATTAAGTAGGGCCCTAAGAGGTTTCTTTGCAGTGTCTTTCCGACGTCCAGTAAGACGCAGACAGATACGCGCTCGTACTAGAGCATGATCTGAATCTAAACATGTGCTCCAGAATGAGCGACAGTCTTCTATCGAGCCCCTCCATCGGTGGCTGATAGCGATGTGATCTATTTGGGTCCAACGTTGGGATGAATTAGGGGGTCGCCAAGTTAAAAGATGTTTTTGCCTATGCTTAAAGTTAGTATTCGCAAGGAACAGGCGGTTATCTGAACATAGCTGCAACAGACGGTCGCCATCATCTGTTCTTTGAGCCACGACACTATAAGATCCACCTAGGTGTCTTTCCCTATCGCTTAGTTTACCTACTTGAGCATTAAAGTCACCGGCCATTATTACTACATCCGAGCGCCTAGCTTTTCGGAGGAGGTCAGAGAGCTTTCTGTAAAACTCATCTTTTACATCATCTACGCTGCAGTCAGTGGGAGAATAGGCAGAGACGACGAAGAGGCAACGACGAGTGTCCCTATCTTTTCGGATCCTTACTGTTCCGTTCAGTCGGACAGTGCACAAACGACTGTCTACTGGAATCCACTCTAAGAGAGCTAGTTCTGCCCTGGGACTCAATGCTGTACCTACGCCGGCGAGGCCATGAGAAGCATCACCAGGGCTTCCAGATATACGAAGTGTGAATCGAGTCGGTTCTTTATTTTGACATAGTGAGGCCAAATGAATGACGCTACTCGGATCCTCTATACGCGTTTCGGAGACGCAGCACACATCGATGGCGCGAGATTCTAAAGTCCTAGCTAAGGAAGCCTATTGTCCTATTGTTGGGGACGATAGATCCCCAAACTCATATTTTTAAATTTTATCTTACCGATCATCTTATCGATTAAATGTTAGATATTTTTATTGGGGTCAATTGATGAACTATCGATTAAATGCGCAAATAGGTCAGTTGATGAACTATCGATTAAATGCGCAAATAGGTCAATTAATGAACTCATTGGTTAATGTTTAAAAATTTTCTATGACAATATCGATTGTAAATAATTGTATAAATACGCTTGACTTGTATGCTTGATCGGATCTGCCTGCCTGACTTGTTATCTGCTGTTTGTCTGTAGAATACACTTTCTACGACTTACCAAGACTTCTTGATCGAGTTAGCAGAGTTGGGGACAACGGACCAGAATACACTATCGAGATTCTGAATCCTTGATCCGATCGATAAGTCACTGTCTTATAATCGGCTGTCACTTTGAGACATAACAAAACCTATTTGGCACAGTGTTCGGACGTTAAAAGCTCCTACGTGTAGCTTAGAACGTGGTTTCAGAAGACCAGGAATAACATTCCGCATACCCAAATCGGTTGCCCTAGCGGTGCGAGGTGATAAAGCGACGTAAGGAGGGTTAGTCGGGGAGATAAGAGAGCTATTAGGAGGTGTAGGAAGAATTTGAATGTGACCAACTTGGTTTCTTGTGCTGTTACGGGTATGAGGGCTGATGTCACTTCCCGGCTGCGCACACCGTGGACAGGTATTTCTTGAGGAACCTGAAAAGGAAGTTGGATTAATGTTGGCCTTAACGACTTGGGAGCGTGACCACAGAGCACAAGGGACAACTGCTTTAGGCCGATCGCGCACGGCCTTTTTGTGGGAGGTTTTTGACGTGTTAGCTCCGTTTTTCAAAGTACCTTACCGCCGGAGACGGAAATCCGTGGGACAAGGTGAGGTGTGACATTTTTAGGGTCAACCTTTTCTAACCCCACCCCTCCTTGTGGGAAGGCAGCATCGCTGTCATGCTGGTTGTCTGAAGGAAACACCTTACTGCTGTCACACCTCTGTACAGTCAGCAGTACGACTTCGCCTTCGGACCTTGGGTTTGTTGCTTTTAGTCTAACCGCTCTTCAATCGACCTGTCTGACATGGTAGGACCTTGAGGAACGGTTGTTCCAGCCAGTATAGCTGGGTTGCTTCATCACGATAGGCAAGCCCGACCACCGCGTCAAGGTAGCAGCTACAGTTGAGCAAAAATACTGATAAATCAAATGAGCTCCTGTCCAGTCAAATGCACAAGATAGTTTAAGGAAATATTTGTTTTAAGTAAACTAACACACTTTCAATCTACAGAATATGACAAAAAACAAACTGTTTTATTTTAAAAAAAGCTGAAACAAAATACCAAATACGCTTTATCAGATTCAAATGAATGCTACTAATATGATAAGAGTATTATGTCTACAAACCAGTATCAAATGCCCACCAGTAAATATGTGAACATTATAACAACCAAAATAACAAATCACACCACATCAGACATCCTATCTCGGTCTTATTTCCTATGGAGTGATTAATTATGCTAATGTTAGTGTTGAATTCGCAGTTAAAACAGACGGAAAATTTGAGTCACACAAACGAGAATGGTAGATGTCCCCAGGAAAAACTTTCTTTTTGGATTTGATTACCAATAATAAGTCAGTAGACCACTATTATTATGCGTCTGGGGATCTGAGATGTGAATGAAAACTTGAAGCATCATGACAAAACACACCCAAAACCACTTATGTTTGAAAGTGTTTTTACCTTTTCTTATAAGTTACCTGTTTATCTATGAAAGCATTACTCCCTTAACATAAATAGCATTTATACTAGCTTTGCGAAGCGTATTAAAGTCTTATGAATGTGGAAAATGAGATTTTTCCAATAACCATAAGTTTTAAGGATAAGGGTCACACATCTATCAGACATACTGCAATATGATCACTTTTTGCCAAGTTTTTCCATAACAGTATAGTATGTTTGTTCACTTTTACCCAAATGAATACGAAAAATAAAATTATCAATAGACTTGGTATTTCTTCTTATTTAACAACTATTGAACTATCTGGGGATAACCTAAAACAAAAGAATACTCCAGTCCTAACGTAAAGTCCCAAAAACTGTAAACAAAACGACAATATAGTTAGCTGCAACCTCAAAGAAAAAATTTAACTACATATATTCCTACAAATATTCAAAAGACAACTATGACAACACTTTGAACGAAAAAGTTCAGTTGGAATTGGTTTGGGATACGAGTGAGGATGATTATGAATTAGAAAAATATCGATGTTACCCCTGATTTTAATTTACACGGACAAGGAAACTAACTATCCTTTTTTTCTACAAAGCCCCTGACGAATTGGGTAAAAAAACACTGTTTGTGTATCGGCAGTTTTCAGGCAAAGTATTTCTGATTTCTATCGACAAATCAAACAATCTAGAAAAGGGCATTTTACGTAAAGAAAAATATTTGCTGAAACCTTAAGAAAGGAAAAAACTGGAGAGCAATGTCACTAACAAAAAGAGAGAAACACCTGTTTTCAAAATCAATGCTGTAAATATGAAGAAATGGTATTACTTTTGACACATTCTCATCGATTCTGGTTAATAATCCATTTGTCATCTCATCAATTGAAACAAGCATAGTTTGCTTTTTCGTTTCCAGCTGAGCTTTTCTAAGAGTCTTTTCCTGTTGGTATTCCTTATAAATTAGAGATAACATTCAACACTCCAACACGAACGTTCTTGGATCAATCAGTTGACCTAAGGCAACGTGTAACTGACTCCTAGTTAACTGAGAAAAAACATGGGAAAATACCATAAAATAACATTGATTATAAGGCTCTTGTAGATTAGCTCGCATGCGTTCATTAAAAAGTCAACTCTTCATGCCGCAATAAATCGTCAAAGCATGAGATAGATTACTAGTGCATGTTAGCAATCAACTTTTTGATACCGATCGTCTGCTATTATTGACAACTAATCAGCCTGGTGTTGATGCAAGGACAAACTTATGTCGTTTGATCCACATAAACGTGGGTTATGTAAAGCATTCCAAATAATATCAACTGGTGAGGGGTTACACCCTAGATTGCTGGACTAGTGTAGCAGTATTGTCCCAGAATCTGCCATTGCTTCCTGTAGTTACGTTCATTAATTACCTAGTGAAGCAAATCCCGACCGTTGTTGCTACCTTGACGTGGTAGTCGGGCTTGCCTATCGTGATGAAGCAACCGAGCTATACTGGCTGGAACAACCGTTCCTCAAGGTCCTACCATGTCAGACAGGTCGATTGAAGAGCGGTTAGACTAAAAGCAACAAACCCAAGGTCCGAAGGCGAAGTCGTACTGCTGACTGTACAGAGGTGTGACAGCAGTAAGGTGTTTCCTTCAGACAACCAGCATGACAGCGATGCTGCCTTCCCACAAGGAGGGGTGGGGTTAGAAAAGGTTGACCCTAAAAATGCACACCTCACCTTATCCCACGGATATCCGTCTCCGGCGGTAAGGTCTCAACAAGTACGGAGCTAACACAAAAATCACCCATAAAAAGGTCGTGTGTGACTGACCTCAAGCAGTTGTCCTTTGGGCACTGCGGTCACGCTCCCAGGTCACTAAGACCACCTCTAATCCAATTTCCTTTTCAGGTACCTCCAGAACAACCCTTCCACGGTGTGGGCAACCGGGAAGTGATAACCGCCCTCATACCTCTAACAGCACTCAAGATCACTGTATTCATAATCAACCTCCCTCTTCTATTCCTATTATTCCTCCTACATCGACTTTCAACTCTAAATTTCCTCTTTCGGCTTCCTCCTCAAGTGTCACCAAAGCCAACGATTCTAGTGCTCAAAACACTGCCCCAGGTCTACTGAAACCTCGCTCCAAACTACACATTGGAGCCTTCAACGTACGAACCCTATGTCAAATCGGTCAGCAGGCTTTCTTGGCTAAAACCCTAGAGTCTCGTACCATTGATGTATGCTGTGTCTCCGAAACACGCATACAGGATTCCAGTGTGGTCATTCACTTGACCTCACCTCGACAAAACGGAGAGCCAACGAGATACACTCTCCGTGTATCTGGTGACCCGATGGCCAGTTCTCGTGGACTGGCAGGTGTAGGCATAGCACTAAGCATGAGGGCCGAACAAGCACTGCTAGAGTGGATCCCGTCAACAGTCGTTTATGTGCTATTCAGCTAAACGGCTACGTAAGAACTCGGAAGGATAGGGACACACGTCGTTGCCTTTTTGTCGTTTCTGCCTACGCTCCCACTGACTGCAGCTCAGATGAAGTGAAACATGAATTTTACAGAAAGCTGTCCGAACTTCTGCAGAAAGCTAAACGCTCAGACATAGTACTCGTAGCAGGTGATTTTAATGCTCAGATAGGTAGTTTAAACCAAACAGAAAGGCATTTAGGTGGATATTTTAGTATTCCGACACAGCGAACAGATAATGGTGATCGTCTGCTGCAACTATGCTCAGACAATCGTTTATTTTTAGCAAACACAAATTTTAAGCATAAGGAGAGACGTCGTCTAACATGGCGACCCCCTACACCAAATCAACGATGGACTCAAATAGACCATATTGCCATCAGTCATCGTTGCAGAGGGTCGGTAGAAGATTGTCGTTCATTCTGGAGCACCTGCTTGGACTCCAACCACGCCCTAATACGGGCACGCATCTGCTTGCGCCTCACTGGACGCAAAAAAGCCACATTAAAAAGACCCGCTAGAACTGAGTTGAGTAACGAGAAAACCAAAAGTAGGTTCCAGGAACAACTGAGGCCACACTTAGGTAGTTCTGAAGACGAAGCTGACCCAGATGTTGCTTGGAAAGCTATACAATTAGCTGTGGAAACAGCAGTGACATCTATTAGTGGTTTAAACCACAGAGTTACAAAGAACCAATGGATTTCTTCAAGGTCTATCACACTGATGGATTCTCGCAAACTCGTCCCATCAGGTTCCGAACATGATGAAGAGCGACAACAAATCAGATCTAGGTTAAGAAAAAGTCTAAGAAACGACCGTGAGCAGTGGTGGGCAACGAAAGCAAAAGAGATGGAAAAGGCGGCGACTACAGGGAACACAAGACAGCTTTACAGACTAATAAAAGAAACTGGAATTAATAAGTCAAGTGTAAGTGAGATTATATCGGAAAAAGACGATACACTCATCTGCTCCCAGTCCAGGCGTTTAGAACGATGGGCGGAACATTTCAGAGAACAGTTCAGCTGGCCTTCAGCTACTCTACAACTACCCTCCATTCCCAGACAATGTGAATGGAACATTGAAGTAGGTCCCCCAACTCTTGCTGAAGTTGAGAAGGCTATAGTTAATCTGAAACGAGGAAAGGCAGTTGGTCCAGATGGATTGGCTCCAGAGGTCTTTAAGGATGGTGGTCCAATTTTAGCGATTAGGTTGACTAATATTTTAGCTAAGATCTGGGAGTCAGACGTTATCCCATCTGACTGGTCGCAATCACTTATTGTCCCAATATATAAGAAGGGGTTCAAATCATCCCGGGATAACCATAGAGGGAATAGTTCAACTAATATAGCATCTAAAATACTAGCCTCGATAATTATCAGACGCTTAACTAAGCCTCGTGAACTGAAAACACGAGAGAATCAAGCTGGCTTCAGACCTGGTCGTGGCTGCATTGACCACATATTCACCATTAGTCAGGTTTTAGAACATAGGCATACTTATCGGCGTCCGACAATGGTGGTCTTTCTTGACTTAAGGGCAGCATTTGACTCTGTAGACCGCTAGATTCTGTGGCAGTGTCTGTCATTGAAAGGCGTACCCCAGAAGTAAATAAACTTTGTGAAGGCTCTTTACTCGAACACTACTAACCGAGTCATAGCTTATGGTGAACTGTCATCTAATTTTACAACCTCAAGTGGTGTCCGTCAAGGCTGTCCACTATTTCCACTTTTGTTCAACTTCATCATAGATCTACTGATGGAAATAACGCTCACGTAGACTGAATTTTCGGGCATTGATCTTCTACCAGGAGGTCCACTTATCGACTTAGAATACGCAGATGATATAGTCCCGTTTGATGAAGACGCTGACAAAATTCAGTCTTTTGGTAGCACTGAGCAACAATGCCAGTATATTTGGAATGCGTTTCTTGTCCACTAAATGCAAATTACTGCTTAAGAACTGGTCTGCGTCAACACATGAAGTAGTTGAACGCGTCGACAACTTCACTTATCTTGGAAGTCTGATCAGTCCTAATGGGTTGGTGTTGCACGAAATCTCACCACGGATTCGAAAAGCTCGCTTGGCTTTTGTCAACTTACGTCACCTGTGGCGGAGGCAAAATATCCGCCTATCAGTTAAGGGGCGAGTATGCTGTGCGGCAGTTCTGTTCTACTTTACGGCTGCGAAACGTGGCCATTAGGAGTAAGAGATACTCGTAAGCTACTAATAATTGATCACAAATGTCTTAGAAATATTGCTGGCGTCTGCTGGGATCACCGGGTAAGTAATAGTGAGGTTAAACGCAGGGTATTAGGGAATGATGGTAAATCAGTTGATGAGTTTGTTAATCTTCATCGACTGAGATGGTTGGGCCACGTATTGCGTATGCCTGAATACCGATTACCACGACGTGCAATGCTAACCGGTGTTGGAGATGGTTGGAATAAAGTTAGGGGCGGCCAAACCAAAACGTGACATCAGTCCTTGAAGTCACTAACTTCTAGTTTGAGCCATGTTGGTAGATGCAGACTACTTAGTTGGGGTCCGCGTGACTATCGTAACCAATGGTTGGAGACTGTAGGTGACATGGCTCAGAATCGATCACAATGGCGTCGGTGTACACACTCTCTGTCTTCTCTTAAACTAAGAGATTAAAATTGATTCATATCTTTCTTTCTACGAACCAATTCTTTCTTCCTGTATTATATCCTTATTGCAATCTTTCTTTTATATATTACCACCTCTAAATTAACTACTTATATGAATCCGGTGCCCATCTTGTTGTGTTAATGAGGTATGGCAACTTGGACCGATGCATATATGTGCCCGGTCCTACGTTGTAGCTGACTGACTGACTGACTGAGTGAAGCAAATTGCATAGTTCCGGTTTTTTATTAACAAATTGTAGGTGGTTTCACTATTGAAATGTCTCCACCTGTTCATCTCTCAATGAAGCAACAACTAGACAGAGTTGCAATTGAGATGATGGTGACATAACTGTAAGGAAGGTCAACGAAATTCTGGACCTTTTTCGGGTGTGAATTCCTGAACTGGCCATGTACGTCCAAAGTGTACTTTGTCGTTGCTACAATGTAGGACCTAATTTTCTAGTTTCGCAAGTGTTCACGGACCTAACTGTAATTTTTCCAGTTTAGCAAACATTATTGTTATACCAGCGGTACGTAGTCAACCTTTCACATCGCATTATGGATTCATAGGTTGGATGATTGCTATGATATAGGGCATTCGTTTGTCTACTATTGGTAATTTGGCTGTTTCGATACTGCGTTTGAAATGCAGAAGAGTAACTTTTTTTGTAGAACACTGAATGAAAGTTCAACACCAACCTGATATATGGAACGGAAACGCATTAGCAACTGTTAAGAATTCGAGGACATTATTTATTGGTGGGAAAATTGCTTTTTTAACTTTGTTAAAGATTTCCACTTATAGCGCACCAATGTTTTGATTACGGCAATGCTTATCTATCGCGACAGATTGATTCTACTTATCAACTATGGTTCAATTGCTTTGGAATCGCGTTTACTTTGAGGAGTTAAATGAAAATAAAATTGAATGAGTGCGTAGTAACTTTTGTGCACATGTTATTAAGTCAACAGGATTTTCTGTACATTCAGCTGATTGTACCCAAGCTGCCAACTTTGGGGAAAATTTGGTCCATTTTTTGGGAAATTTTGGGGAAGCCGCTATAGTAAATTTGGGGGAAATGAGACGAAAAACCCAAATTTTCCCCAAACTTTGGGGAAGGCTCTTTCACTTTGGGGATTTCCCCAAAATTTCCCAAAAGTTGCCAGCTTGGGTACAGACCACTAATGGTCTTGGGGATAATACGGAATCGTGCAGTGTCCCCAAAATGCCAAAAAATTATTGAGGTCAAATCACAGAGAGCAGATGGGTTTTCCCAAAGTGTCATAAGATTCTAGGGAAAATTTGGGGGTTTTGTGCTATTTCCCGAAAATTTCCTATGATGGCTTTCCTAAAATTTCACCAAAAATAGAGAGACTGGGCCCATCAAACAAATATCATAAATACAGTGTGTAACATTAGATAGGTTCACTCATTGATTCCAAATGTTTTGGAAAAACTAGTGAGTGAATACTTGTGATTTGTAGAATTCGACCAAAATGCCGCCGAACATACTTGAGAGCGATCATTATCCAATTTTTTTCAGACCTCAGTGATAAGGATAGGAGGTCCATCGACCTATATTAATCCTTGCAGTTTTCAACGATAAGGAGTTTCACTCTCGTTTCGAATATATCAATAGAATGTGCTAGTATTACGTGTTCCGGCAGAGAATTTCAGTAATTCACTACTCGGTGCGAGAAACCAAACTTCAGACGTAAACGATTTGATCTCGGTTTTTGAACTTTCTTCGAATGTCCTTTCAAATGATCAGTCCTAGATGGAAGCAAAAGATAAGACATGTTAATATCAGGGTCATCGTTCAGAATACAATAAGCCAATATTAGATCACCCCGTATTCTACGGTAACATAACGGAAATAAGTTAATGTGTCTCAGTCTGTCTTCATAAGATAGGACAGACACACTCTGTACCATCTTAGTACCTCGTCGTTGGACTCTTTCCAGCATACCTGCTTCATACTTGAAACAAGGATTCGCTGCTTGGATCCCACGTTCCAAATGTGGTCGCACATAAATTGGGTATAATAATTTGAACATTTGATCATCTAAATGCTGGAAAGACCTACGAATAATTCATAACAGCCTGTAGCCTCTCGCAGCAGCCTTACAGTGACTAGTCGTTTTGAGATCATTGCTTAATATAACTCCTAAGTCTTTATAGTTTCTTACTTTGGGTAGCACGAATCCACATATTGTGTAGTGATACGAATCATCATAGTTATTTAATTGCATCGCCACACTCTTATTAAGATTTACTTCTAGTGACCACCTTTCCAACCATACCACCAATGAGCTAAGATCATTCTGTAATACTATCCTATCCGACATACTGTGTATGTGTCTCCAAATCTTCATGTCATCAGCGGAGAGTAGGACAAATGATTTCGCTATAGTTGGCAATTCATTTACATAAAGTAAAAAGAGAAGAGGACCTAGAATTGTACCTTGGGGAACCCCACTTTTTACAGGTACACACGAGGAGAGAGCCCCATTTACCCTTACCCTTTGTCTCCTCTCATGCAGAAAGCTACTTATCCAATCTACGACTGTATAATGGATTCCAAAACGTTCTAGTTTGAATTTAAGACCAGAGTGGGAGACCTTGTAGAAGAGTTGCGATTACCAATTGTATTCGAATTGGGATTACCAATTGTAGCGTGGCGTCGAGTTGAGATCAACTGTGAACACCGCTACCAAGAAACACGTGCCAGATAGATCAGAAGGCGTAAGAAGCTCGTTCCAAATGACTCCATAAAATCCCCGAGAAGCCGAATACCAGAAGGCAATTAATGGACCAAGTCGATGTTTATTTGCTGGCGATCTCGTGGCATCGAAAGGATACCGAGATCGTGCCAGGATACAAGCTTGGTTACAGAACGTAACCGAATTCGCGCGAAGTTACAATCAAAGTGTAAGTATAAGAATGGAAGCACAAAATAGCTGTCATTAGCACAGTCAAACAAAAGCACGTTAAAACAAACACTGGTACAGTTGGTTATAATAATAATTGTTTTTATTAAACCAGTCGTGTTCTCGTGATAAACGTGAGTCACTACAGGAGCCCCCCGCTAGAAAGGGTTTACACTTTCGATAAACAGCGGTTTGAATCGTGGGACTGATCAGCTGACGAGCGATTGTAGGACGGAAGAATTGGCGAACAGGAAAGCGATCGTTGATCGTCGAGTTGCCAACGAAGGTCGTTTTCGGAGAACAGTACCAGGAGCGATGTGTTGTATTTATTGCTCGAATTGGCATGCTACACCAGAGTGGTTTGTATCCAGAATCTGAAGAGGGCGTTCGTAGATGTGCGCACCAGAAACGCTGCAGACGTAGGACGAAACCACGTTGAGCCAAAAGACCAGAAGCGACCGTAACGACCAAGTTCGAGACCAAGCGTATGCCAAGCATTCGAAACCAATATATCGACTGAGTGCGTTGACAAGAGCATGGGTGGCCAATCCAGCTTTCGCCAAAGTTGACTGAAGTCGACGGAACCAAACGGAGATGGTCGAAGGCGTGGGCTCAGGAAACAAAAAGAAAATCAAAAAAAGAGGAGTGTAGCATGCATGTAGCATAGGAATAACCCTACACCGTATCGGTTGTTGACTGTGCGACTAGTCGCGGAAGCGTACGGGCAACCGTACTCGGCGACCGGAACGTGAGACGACAGTCTCGTTCGTATCGCGTGAGCCTGCAATCTCATCCGAGGTCAGAGGCGGCGTGGTCTGCTGATCTGGACGTGAGACTATCGTCTCGTCCGTAGACGGTGCAGATGACGCGTGCTGTTGACCGGGACGTGAGAATGAGGTCTCAGATGCATCTAGCGTGGGACCTGAAGAAGATTTAAGGATCCCGCTAGGTTTGATAGGTCTAGCATTGAATCTCAGGGTGTCAGATAGGGCACTGTCATCGACGTGTGCTGGTTTGAGACGATCAATGCTGACGATCTCGACGCGTCCATATCGATCAACCTTGAAGGTCTTTTCGTGACGAGCGATCACGTGAAAAGGGCCTTCGTAAGGTTGTTGCCAAGGTTTGCGTACCGAATCTACTCGTACAAAAACATGTGAACAGGTAGATAACTCTCGAGGGAGAGCGACCTGTCGATGTTGTATTCGAGTTGACACCGGAGACAGCGTTCGCATAAATGCAGACAGTCGATGGACGTAGTCTGACTTACCGAAATTAGGTCTGCTCCGTGGTGTGAAGAATTCTCCGGGCAGACGCAATGTCGTGCCGTATACCAGTTCAGTGGCGGAACATTGTATATCTGCCTTTAAGCTCGTTCTGATCCCTAAAAGAACGAGCGGTAAGGTTTCGTGCCAGTTGCCGTTTTCGTGTGCTCGTAGAACACTTTTAAGTTGGCAGTGAAACCGTTCAACTTAACCATTTGGTGCTGGGTGGTAGACGGATATGCTTATGCGTATGCATTCCGTACCAAGCAGCCGGGTCAGCGAGGAGAATCGTTAATAGGGTAACATTACTCGAATAAAGCGTGGAATTCATCATCACGCGAATAAAAAGTGACAAGGATTCGGTACACATACGTGTGAGTCTATTATATTAATACTATTCTTATCGTTATCCGTCATGTCGCGTATATTATATTAAAAAATATGAAAATATACGACAGACGTGGATAGATAAATCATAGACTCACCGAATTGGCTTCTTTGAAAGATTTGATCAGAAGTTGAGGCGTGTTCCAAAATACGGGTCACCAATTGTATTCGAATTGGGATTACCAATTGTAGCGTGGCGTCGAGTTGAGATCAACTGTGAACACCGCTACCAAGAAACACGTGCCAGATAGATCAGAAGGCGTAAGAAGCTCGTTCCAAATGACTCCATAAAATCCCCGAGAAGCCGAATACCAGAAGGCAATTAATGGACCAAGTCGATGTTTATTTGCTGGCGATCTCGTGGCATCGAAAGGATACCGAAATCGTGCCAGGATACAAGCTTGATTACAGAACGTAACCGAATTCGCGCGAAGTTACAATCAAAGTGCGAGTATAAGAATGGAAACACAAAATAGCTGTCATTAGCACAGTCAAACAAAAGCACGTTAAAACAAACACTGGTACAGTTGGTTATAATAATAATTGTTTTTATTAAACCAGTCGTGTTCTCGTGATAAACGTGAGTCACTACAACCTTATCGAAGGCCTTACTTAGATCTATGAAGATCACATCCACAGGAATATTCCGATCCTTTGCCGCAGCCCAATCTTCTCTTGCAATCAGTAGATTTCTCAAGTATGATAAGCCTCTCCGAAAACCATGTCGTCCCTGGAGAAAAGATTATGCCCTTCAAAATAGTTTATGACAGATATCCGAGTGATTTTTTCCATTAGTTTTACAACTGCACTAGTTAAGCTAACGGGTCTATAGTTACTAACTAAATCCCTACTCCCAGCCTTATACACCGAACTTATTATAGCGTCTTTCCAGTCTCTAGGCAGTCTGGACTGTCTCAGAGGCATGTCAAATAGTATCTTTAAGGGTTCAGCAATTTCATCTGATATGGCTTTCATAATTCTAGGATGAATATCATCAGGACCACTGGACTTATCAGGTTTGAGATGCTGAAGTAGCCTTAAGACAGTACCTTTCTCAATGACAACAGGGTCCATCAACGAGCCGCCACAATCACAATGAGTCGTTGGTCGTACTTCATAACTGATAGAAAACACATTAGTAAAACATTCCAATAAAGCTTCAGCCTTTTCGGTATCATTTCTTGCCAAGATTCACGGAGTTCCTTGTATCAAAAGTTATTGGAATCCAATAGCTTCGCTGAGTTTGCCTTTTTACGTACGACAATAACCGTTTCGGACTATATCTACAATCCCTAATCAATTGTTTTTCATATAATCGTCTAGTCTTACATAATAACGCTTTAAAGGCATTCCTAATTTTACAACAACTGGATCTGTATTGTTCTAAACCAGTAGAGATGAACATGCTCCAGTGCTTTTTCTATCTTCTACGAAGTTTCCTGACTTCTTTGGTTAGCCATGACGGACTGTTATTCGGCCTACGTGGTATCAGCTATGGTATGAACGAGGACGTAACTAAACTAAACTTGCCTTTAAATACAGACCACGCTTCTTCAGCTGATGAGCTAATACCCACAGACCAATCTGTCTTAGCAGCGCACTCCTGAATGGCTGATATGTTAGCTCTTCATACATTTGGGCAGGGTGTAACCTGGTCGTATAACATTTCCATAGTTCTAAACGCGAATTACAAAACAGCGTGATTGCTGTTTACTAACGGCGGAAGAATATTTAGGTCGACAATATTCTCGGTATCATGAGTGTTTACCAAGTCCAACAGAGAAGAACCTTGATTATCACCAAAACGAGTGGATTTGGATACATCCTGCACTAATGCATGCTCCATTATTGCTATCAGGAACCTACTATCAAAGGAGTCTATAAATCCTTCCGTGGTCATCTCAGTTCAACTAATATCAGGTGCAATAAAGTC